CTCCCCCCGTGTACAGATTGCCTGTCTTCAGTGTAAAGTGGAACTTTGTCTGTTTTTGTTCTGGTCTGTGTCCCTGTTGGGTATATCCCCTTCACTTCCTTTTGTGGTCAGCGTTACAGGAAGTGAGGCTAAAATCTCCCCAGGGGGCACAGACCTATAAAAACCTCATTGGAGTTTCTGCTCTTCCCCAATTTTGGGGGTACAAAAGCTCCACTTCCTGTTAAAGGGTGACAACGCTCTGTCCCGGTCTTCCAATTCTTCTCCTGCATTGTCACCCGGGAAAGGCCCTCTCTCCATGTCTGCTGATTGATTTGTAGAATAAAGTTCCGGGTTTCTGATTGGCCGGGGTGACATTTTGTTGTCTTTTTTTTTGTCTGCAGGTTTTGCCAGTTGCTGGTCACGCTCTCACCGGTAGCTGCAGCCCCGTGGAAACACTAACCGAAGAGGCTTCTGGGAAATCTGTGTCCAGATCTATTCGTGGCAGTCTGGTCAGCAGCGATGGTAAATATCGGCTGGGTAGACGTGGTGGTGGTGGTGGTGGTGGTGGTGCTGCTGCGGCAGGTTAATGGTTAATTAGCAAGCTTGGACTTCTCTTCCTCTCTAACGCCCCCATTCCTTTTATCTGCAGCGTTAGAAGACTGTATCACGGCGTCCGGTGTCATGGAAACTGCCCTCGAGGTTCTCAAAGATTGCCTGTCCTCTATGCCAACAGGTACGGGGGGTCTAATAATTGAGCAGCAGGTTTTACTTTTGCCCCGCCCACGAGGAGCTCTTGGTTGCTCCCTTCCCGCCCCCGAGGAGCTTTCTGTAATACTTCCTGAAGGTCCAGAGCTCATTATAGCCCCTCCTTCTTTCAAACAGGTGAAGGTCTGCCGACTCCCCTCTCCCGACACGACAACTTTGTGTGGGTGAGCAAATGGGTGGATTACTCCAACAAGTACGGATTTGGCTATCAGCTGTCCAACCGCTGCATTGGCGTCCTCTTCAACAACGGGACCCACATGGTGCTGCCAGCGAATCGCAGGTAGGTGGCTGTCTGCTTTATGGTGCAGACGTCTGTCGGCCATCTTGGTTCCTGTCTACCATATTGACTTTTTTTTTTTTTTTTTTTTTTTCCCCCTTATGGACGTTCACTACAAATTTA